CTTCCACTGGAGCAGCTTGCTCCAAGCCCCTGTGTCCAACCTGGCCTTGAACACTGCCAGGGATGGGGCAGCCACAGCTTCTCTGGGCACCCTGAGAAGCAACTCTGGGCAATCCCAGCCTTGGGATTTAAGGACTTCAGTGGTTTTCTGAGTCTGGTCCCAAAGCAGGAGTAGCTGCAAATGCAAATCCTGGAGGAACTCCTCAGAGCAGCAGCGAGACTGCCTGCAAATCCCACCCTGAACTTGAGCTTAGGGTAAACCAGGTTCTGTTCAACCCCGGCTCAGCAGCAGCACTAATGCTGCGACACGGGTGTTCAGTGCAGCAGAGGAAGGAGTCATTCCCCAGCGCTCTGCCTGCTGGCCAGGAATGAGCAGGAGCAGCGGGATCATAGCTGTGGATCAGGTAATGGGATTTGTGTGCTTAGAAAAGCTGGTTTTGAAGGACTTTTCAGCACCTAATTCCCAGCTATCTTAAGGACCGTTGGGTACCAGTCCGGCGGGATGCCTGATCAACCTCAAGCGTGCTCCTAATGCTGCACATTGAGACTTTAGGGAGCTTTTTAGCCTGGTTTGGTTTGGTTAGTGACACTTCAGCGATGCAGAAGGCACAGGGCATTTCTCCTCTCACCAACATGGCATTTCCCTGCCTGCAGCTGTGCTTCAGGCCCTTCACATTCAGCTTCTCACCTCCACGGATATCCCACGGGCGCTGGGGCCCATGGTGACCGTGCCCACCTTCACCAGGAAGTCGCAGTACTGGTAGCGGGTGCCCCTGGTCTCTATCTTGTTGGCTTTGGCGTTCTGGAAGAAGCCTTTGAGCTTCACCATGAGGATGTCGAAGTTGGCATCCGCGATGAGGCAGGGGCCGCTCTCGAAGAGCGCGAAGCAGCTGAGCGGGTACTCGGAGTTGTGCATCACATACATCAGCTTCCCCGTCTGCCCTGCAAGCAGACCAGCGGGATTTGGGCTGCGAAACCACCACTCCCGTGCTTGGTGGTGCTTTAGAGCAGCATCCGGTTTAACCTTGTCCTCCGGGTGCCTTTCATCCCCGGGTGCCGCTCACATGCACGGTGTCAGCAGTGAGCAGAGTGATTTGGGGCTTAAGATTAAACGTTAAAGAGGAGGAAAGAAACCAAACCTGCAGCTCGAGGATAACACACCAGCACCCCCGGGGGGGCTGGAGGATGCGCTGGAGCCGAGACCCCCAGGTCAGCAGAGAGAAGAGGAGAAGCCCCGCTGCCCATCACTGACCCTGGGTGCCGATGGTGGACGCTGCCGTGTGGTAGGTCTCGCAGTCCACGCAGAAGGTGCCCTGCTTCTCAGCGCCCAGCACCTCCAGCTTCCGCGTCAGGAGCTCCACCGTCTGCTGCACGCTCTTCCCCTCCGCCACCGGCACCTGCGACACGCTGCAACGGGGGAGAAGGAGGGATGAGAGACCCGGTACGGACCCGATCCCCCCCCCCGGGGGACCCCCATTCCCCACCGCCTCCCAGCCCCGGTACCAGGTCACCCCCATCCCGCCCGCACGGAGCCAACGCCGGAAGGGGCCGAGCCGCGGCGGCGGCCCCGGAAGAGGCGGGTCCGGCCGCACACGCGTGGTCCCCGGTGCCGGTTCTTCGCTCCCCAGCGCCATGCCCAAGGTGCGGCGGACGCGGGGCCCCGGCCCCGGCCCCGGCCCCGCTCCGGGGCTGCCGCTGGCGGAGCAGATCCTGCGGGAAGCGGCTCCTCGGGCTCCGCGGGCGGGCGCGCAGGACGAGGACGAGCGGGAGCCGGGCTACGTGGACGCGCGGCTGTCCCGGCGCATCCTGCAGCAGGCGCGGCGGCAGCAGGAGGAGCTGGAGGCCGAGCACGGCCCCGGTGTGCCCGAGCAGCGCAGCACGGCCCTGGGTGAGCCCCCGGTCCCGGCCCCGGTCCCCAACGCGAGAGGCCCCGGGCTCAAGCAGCGCCGGTCCCCTCCGCAGGCCCCGGTTCCGACTCGGAGGACGATGAGGAGTGGCCGTCGCTGGAGGCGGCGGCGGGGCGCGGCGGGGAGGTGGCGGTGGACCCCGAGGACGAGGCGGCCATCGAGCGGTTCATGAACAAGAACCCGCCGCTGAGGTGAGTGCGGCGGCGGGCGCAGGAGAGGGACCGAGCCGGGGGTCGGTGGAGGTGCTGAGCACGGCCCTGACCCGAGCCCTGCCGCAGGCGCACGCTGGCGGACATCATCCTGGAGAAGATCACCGAGAAGCAGACGGAGGTGGACACGGCGCTGTCGGAGGGCTCCGGCTGCCCCGTGCCCCAGCTCGACCCCCGCGTCCTGGAGGTCTACAGGGGGGTGCGAGAGGTGAGGCTGCCGCAGCTCTGTCCCATCACCGTTGGTCGCTGAGCACCCAGGCTGCTGCCGGGTGATGCTATGGGCATGGGGTGATACCGGGATGGTTTGTGCTCACGGGGGATGCTTTGGCGTGGTTGTGAAACAGGTCCTGGTCTTGGTGCCCAAACGTCGCGGCTTAGTCTTTTATCTGCATCTTTTTAGGTGCTGTCCAAATACAGGAGCGGGAAGCTCCCCAAGGCATTTAAAATCATTCCTGCCTTGTCCAACTGGGAGCAGATCCTCTACATCACGGAGCCGGAGGCATGGACAGCGGCTGCCATGTACCAGGCCACCAGGTGAGGTGGTCTCTGAGATGTTTTCCTTGTTTCTTTCCATAGCTGGACCCAGGTTTGCAGAACCTGTCCCCTGCCTGGCTCCATCCTCACTCTGTGCTTTGCTTTTCCCAGGATATTCTCATCCAACCTGAAGGAGAGGATGGCCCAGCGGTTCTATAACCTGGTGCTGCTGCCGCGGGTCAGGGATGACATTGCAGAGTACAAGCGCCTCAATTTTCACCTCTACATGGCTCTGAAGAAGGCTCTGTTCAAGCCAGCAGCTTGGTTCAAAGGTACTTGGGTTCTCTGGGAGGTCGGTGGCAGGTTAGGAACCGTCTTGGCTCTGATCTGGGTCTCGTCTGGCAACCTGAGGTTCAGGGCTGGTGGGAGCTGCTGGAGGAGCTGTTCTTTCCTGGGTTCAGTTGTGATCCAGGGTGGGAGAAGGGGCGATATCACAGGGTGATGGTGAAGGACAGGAGCTGCCTGACCCTTCCCTTCCACAGGGATCCTCATCCCGCTGTGCGAGTCAGGGACCTGCACGCTGCGGGAGGCCGTCATCATCGGCAGCATCCTCACCAAGTGCTCCATCCCCGTCCTCCACTCCAGGTAAGGTGCTGGGTGGCAGAGCTTCTCCTTAGAGACCCCAGCTCGATGCCTTGGGTCTCCCCTTCGGCATCTCGGGTTGGGATCCAGGGCTCAGCATTTACCTTTGCCACCTCTGCCCCCGTGTCCCCGCAGCGCGGCCATGCTGAAGCTCGCCGAGATGCCCTACAACGGCGCCAACAGCATCTTCCTGCGCCTGCTCATCGACAAGAAGTACGCGCTGCCCTTCCGCGTGGTGGATGCCCTCGTCTTCCACTTCCTGGCCTTCCGCACGGACCAGCGCGTCCTGCCCGTGCTGTGGCACCAGAGCTTCCTGGCCTTGGCCCAGCGCTACAAGGAGGACCTGTCCTCGGAGCAGAAGGAGGCTTTGCTCGAGCTGCTCAAGTTCCACAGCCACCCGCAGATCTCACCGGAGATCCGGAGGGAGCTGATGAACTCCAAGACTCGGGATGTGGAGGATCAGCAGCCTGCAGCCATGGAGTGAGCAGGGACAGGGGGGGAAAGCCACAGCTTGAGCTGCTCCCGGGATGCTGCTGGATGAAGTTCTCAGTGTGTGAGTGAAGCCGTGAGGAGCTGGGCAGGAGCATCCAGCCAGGATCCTGCTGCCCCGAGTGCTGTGCCCACAGAGCTGGACTGTGCTCCCTGTGGCGGGCAGAACCTGGTGCCATCAGCGCCAGGGAGGGTTTGGCTTGTTCCTGTGTTGGAAAATAAACCCGGAGCAGTGTCCATGGTTTTAGATCCACGGCTGCATCCTGCGTGGTCCTCCCCTACCCCATCCTGTCCCCAGCAGGTGGCAGAGCAAAGCCACCAACCCCAGGTACTGCAGAGCTGCAGCTTCAGTCACTGTGCTGGTGCTGTCCCCAAATCAAAGAGGGAGAAGGGCCCTGGCTGTGGCTTATTCCCTCTGTGCTGCTCCTGCATGATTGGGGGGACAGGGCTGGGACCCCCAGACTGTTCCCAGAGCCCAGAACCACTCATGATGGCAGGGGGCTTGGAACTGGATGATCTTAAGGTCCTTTCCACCCCTAACTATTCTATGATGGGGAAAAGCAGCCCCTCCTCTTAGTGCCTGAGGGTTTCGCCTTTGATCCCCCCATCCACAGCCTGCACTTTCCTTCCTGCTGACTCCACCACCAGTGCTGCACTTCCCGTGGGGATCCACCACCAGAGACACTGCAGGGTTTATGCATGGCAAGTACCCCAAAACCAGCACGGGCTCCCACAGCCACAACCCGCACCAGGCTCTGCTGCTTCCTGTCGCTGCTCTCCAGTGCTGGCACCTTCTCCCATGGCAGCAGCAGCAGCTCAGTGCAGGAAGTGACAGGGGCTGCTTGCACCCCGAGTGCCTGCTCCTCGGCTTCCTGAGCTTTATCTCCTTTACAGCAGCCAGAAGCTGATGAGCACGAGCGATAGCCCTGGGCTCGTGCTGCACATCCAGCGAGCTGTCACCCTCCTGCAGCTGCTGCTCCAGTGCTGCTCAATGGGCCCGGGTTTGGTTCTGCATTCACCCCCCAGCATCCCTGAGCTGCTCCAGGGCCTCATCAAGCACAGTGCGATCCCCTTACACCCCACCATGGCTGGAGCTGGCTCCTGCTCCCCGCTTCATCCTGTGGCCGCAGGAAACACAGGGCTGGAGCCCACAGGGACCCCCCCCTCACTGCCAGGGTTGCTCCATGGGGTGACCCGAGGCAGGGCTCTATAAGGGAAGAGGAGGCCAAGCACAGCCCCAGGTCGCAAAGGGAAACCCCTGAGGCCTCCACACTTGTTCATAAAAGACTTTATTGCAAATCCCAGACACTCCTCTGATGCTCCCAGCAGCAGGAATCTCGCCTGTGAACACCAAACCCACTTTACTCTTAAATTAAAACTCATTTATATATATATATGTATAAAAAAAGGGACATTTTCTCTGTGGACAGACAGGCTCCGTGGCCCCGCATGCAGGAGTTGGTTCTCCTCATCCCAAGGAATGGCAGCCCATTTCCCACCTGGAAAAAGACTCTTTGTTCCTAGTAGCATCCATATAGGAAGAGTTCTACCTCCTTTTCCACATCCCCCAGGGACAGCGGCCACGGAGCAGCACCAACCAGCCTGCCTCAGCCCTAAAGGGTCTCTCTGGCTTCTCCTGGTCAATACAATTCCAGTCTTGAAGGGGTCTCTCTTAGGAAAGCAGCATTAGTTTTTGCTGGGTTTTCTTTCTTAGAGGAACACTTTTTATCCAAACTAACAGACAGGATCGACAATACACAAAAAGCAGGAATTGCTTCTCAAGTGCGCAGCAAAATCTCCACCTTCCCACTGGGATCCCTGTGGGATTTACTCGGCTCCCGGCCCCGAGGTGTGGAGATGCAGCTCAGACTATAGCAGCAAATGTATTTCTTCAACCCTAGTCTGATTTAAGCTACCCGAACCACCAACCGGCCTCCAAGTGCGGCTCCCACTGCGCAGGGAGCTCGGGAAGGGGATGAAGGGGGAAGGCACTCAAAGGGGAAGGAGAGGAGAGCGGCAGAGCCCTGCGAGAGGGAGCTCCAACTCTTTCCCCCCCATTCCCAGCAGTTAACAATAAATTAAGCAGCCTCAGCAGGCCCAAACCTCACCTGAGCCTGCTGCCCGAGGCAAGGGCTTCGCTCCTGCCCTCCCCAAGCAAGACACCCCCCCCCCCCCCAAAAACCCCAAACCTAACAGCAACAAGAAACAAGCCCCACGTTTTGCCCTCCAAGCAGAAGCAGCCACGCCACCCCCCCAAGAGCCAGAGCCCTCTGGCACGAAGCAATGGGGACCAAGGGACACTGAGCCCCTGCTCCCTCCTCCAAGCCCCCAGTTCTCTCCCTCAAGCCATGCGGGGCTGCAGCCTGCGGAGGGAGTTGAAGGATACAAGGAGTCAGGTCAGGTATCCAGGGTCGGAGGCTCTCCATGATCAATGCCCCACACAGGGCTGGAATTCATCACAGTGAACCCCCCCCCTTCCCAAGGAGGTGGTGAACAGCAACGTGAACTGAGCAACACTTTACAACTTCATTTTGGGTCCCGCTGCCCCTTCCCAACATCTCCTGGGCCCTGGCATCACCCAACAACGCTCGCTTCACCCCAGCTACCTGCAGCACTGAGAACCAGCATCCAGCTCCACACTGCCCGCGAGCAGAGCACATCCTCAGCAGCCGGGTGGTGCAAGGGGAGGGGGATGCAGCGACCCTTGGGCGTGCAGGGCCCGATGCAGCGGGGCTGGGCTCTGGGGACGTGGTGGTGGTGGTGGGGTCACAGGTTGACATCCGTGACGTCTGTCGGCGTGCCGGTGGGCTGGCTGCCCGGGTACGCGGCGCTCTTGGAGGCCCGGAGCTCCTGCGGGGTTTGGGATGCCTGCTTCAGGCTCTCGGCTAAGGCTGCCTCGATCTGCTCCTGACAGGCCTTCAGGCAGTCCTGCGGGAGAGGGAGCGACACGAGAGCCCTCAGTTCTCTGCCTTCCAAGTAGCTCTGGGCTTCACGTCTGCCCCATGGAGCATCTAAACACAAAGCAAAGAAGCCTTTCTCCAGCAAGGGGGCATCTCCGGCTTCTCTGGACTTTAGGCCCCGTGTTCTGGTTGCCTTCTCCCTGCTTGAACACATCCTTGAGGAACAGACATTGTGCCCATCAGAGCTCCCAAGAGGAGTCGTGCTCGTGCCTGATCTGCTCCATCCTGGGTACAACAGCCCCGTGCGGACGGGTGTCAGCCTTTACAGGCACCCAACAGCCACAGCACCACGCACCTGGGTCCTTACTACAACAAAGCAGCGGCCATGCAGCTTCCCACGAGGTTTTCACCCTCCTGCTCTGCCCCTCTGTGACCGGCCCCCAGCACTGGGGACACCCCAGGCCCCAAACAGGAAGGTGCAGGGGGCTGCGAGCAGGGGATTTTATTACATATCAATTTATTAGAATTAATAAGTCATATAATTAAATCACACACCACCCCCCGTTTTCTCCCCACAAGCTGTAACCAGGAGGAAACTCCTCCACTTGGACACCAGGAGCCATAGGAGCCATCACAGGCCAGCTCCTGCACCCACCGAGGGGCCATTTCACACCCCAGGGCTGGAGCTGGACACGGGCGCCCGTTGGGGATCGTCACCCCCCAAAATCTCTTACCAGGAATCACCGGCGGTTCTTAGAAACTGACAGAGGATGTGGTGAGTGAAAATAGCAACTGCCTCCTCCCTGCCCCCAGGCCCGGGCAATAGCACACAAACACAGCCTGGTTTGGGTGGGAAGGGACCTGAAAGCTCACCCAGCTCCAACCCCTGCCACGGCCAGGGACACCTTCCACTAGAGCAGCTTGCTCCAACCTGGCCTTGAACACTGCCAGGGATGGGGCAGCCCCTTGGCTGTGCACAGCCAAAGCTGGAGCTGCCTGGGCCCTCTCCAGTGAGCAGAGAGCGCAGCAGGGATGCTGCTGGGCTCCATTCCAGCTCCCACCTCGGTGCCTTCCCTGCTTCCCACCTGTCCCGTGCCCCAGCCCCTGCCCCATTCACCACAACAGCAGCTTGGGAGCAGCCGGCGGCTCTGCTCCCCGCTTTGAAGGGCTCTGGCAAACAAAACAGCTTAAAGCTGCACACAGGGATCAGGACCCCCCCTGCCCGTCCCTCCCTGCATGGACAAAGCCTCAGCCCAGCTCCCAGCACTGGTGTCAGGGGACTGAAACCGACCCCGTGCCCGGCTGCTGCCTCAGGGCTGGGGCAGGATTGATCAAAAGGGGCTCCTGGCATGAGAAAGGCTCTGGATTACATCCTGCACTGGGAGTGAGCTGGAAACAGGGAGCCCGGCAGGGTCCCCCTACCCCATCCAAAGGGCAGTGGGAAGGATGGCTCCCGTCACCCCAGTATCCCCAGCAAAGCTCCTGCATCCTGACCCCCTTCCCATGGGAGCCTGGGCACCTGCAACCAGACACCAGTGGAGGGGAGCAGATGCTGAGCCCAGCTTCTCCCTCTGCCCCATCCCACCTCGTCAACCTGATCCCACCAACACCTGCCTGTGCAGGGAACAGACCTTCCCCTTTGTGCTGCTTTTCAAAGGCTCTGCGCTTGCCCCAGGACTGAGGGTGATGGCTGCATTTAGAGATGCTCACTCAGCTCTGGGCACTCCTCAAACCAAGATCAGCTTCATTAGGAAGAGCCTGACTTCATAGAACCAGAGATCAACCACGTTGGTAAAGACCTTTAAGTCCAACCATTGCCCAGCACTGCCAAGGCCACCCCTAACCCATGGCACTGAGGCCTCGTCTCCACGCTGTGTGAACACTTGCAGGGATGGTGACTGCAGCCCTGCCCTGGGCAGCCTGTTCCAATGCCTGAGCACCCTCTGGGGCAGGAATTGTTCCTCAGCTCCATCTAAACCTGCCCTGGTGCAGCTTGAGGCCGTTCCCTCTTGTCCCATCCCTCTAAGAGGAGCAGGCAGGGTTTCCTTGGGCACTCACCACCTCGGTGCCGGTGATGCTGGCCAGGAGCTCGGTCATGGCCTCGCTGCTGAAGTCGCTCACAGAGACCGTGAGGCCGTGGATGGCGGCTCCGATGCTGCCCGTGGCGATCATGGATGGGGGGTACATGGCAAAAGTGTAGTCTAGAGCCAGGACAGGGACACAAGGGGTGGGAAGAGGCAGCAGTTAGTAAGGATGCACACGGGCCTGCAGCTTCCCTGGAGAACCAGAGGGATCACACCAAGGTGCCTCTCCCACTTAGCACAGAAACCACAGGAGCACAGAACGCTTTGGGTTGGAAGGGACATCCAAGCCCCCTGCCCACAGCACCCCAGGGTGGCTCCAGCAGGAGCAGGCACCCACCTGTAGCACACAGGGCGATGAAGGTCTGTGCGTGCTTCTTCACCAGCTCCATCTTGTCCTTCGGCAGTGGGAGCCGATAGAGGATGTAAGCCAGGAAATCATTGGCGATCACCGAGACCAGGTCCCACTTTAGCTTCTCCAGGACCAGAATCTCCCAATCCTGCGGGATCAGATGGACAGCACGTTCTACAGTGGGGCTGGGGCAGGCTCACTGGGTTCAAGGGCAGATAGGACCAGGGCTTGGGACAGTAGAGTAGTGCAATCCAGGAGGCAGGGAAGAAAAGAGGGAACATCCCTGCTCTGCAGCTATGGCACAAACCCAGCCTTGAGCTGTTGTAAAGCCAGGAGTAAAGATTAGCAGAGAAAATGACAGATCTGGCTTCTGCTTCCCAAGGAGCAGTGGGATTAGTCTTTAACACTCCTCTGCTTTGCCCACAGAGGAGAAACCAGAGCAAGGAGCAGTAGGCACCATTCCCATATTCATTCATCACTCCCAGTTAGGTGCTGGGTGCTGCTGTTGTCTCCGTTCATGCTGTGATGCTCTCTGTAAGCATCTGAGCAGAGGTTTCTGCAGTATCCTTCCTGAGCAATGTGCAAGCTGGGAAGAGATGATGGGAAAACCGAGTGCCCCCATGGATTTCAGCTGCTCCTCTTCATCTCTTCCAGCGCTGGGCATTAGACCCAACACCAAGCACTTGGCAGCAGCATCACCCGACAAGTCCTGGTGGTACCACAGAGGTACCAAAGCACCCATCAAGTCAGGGCAACCCCATGATTAGAGCCTCAGCACCAGATCTGGGTGCCAGCATTCAGCTCCCTGCTCTGCCATCAATGTCAAGGTCTATGTGACTCAGCTACAGCAGCAGCTGAATCCAGCTCAGACACCCCATGTCCCCCCCCTTGCCAGCAGGCCCTGCAGCTCCAGGTCTGGCAGGCCAGAGCTGAACTGGGATTTGTATCAGGTAACTCCATTTCAGGCCCTGGTCCTCCCCAGCAGAGCAGCTATTCTTCCCCCAGCAGTTTAGGGTTACAAGGGCAGTGCTGCTCACCAGGGGCCTGCACAACAGATGGGGTTGAAGAAGTGAGATTTTCCTAAGGGCACAGCTTCATTTTCTCCCTTTTATTTCTTAAACCCACGTTTCCCCCTTACACAACAGCACCCTTTGGAGTTGCTCAAACTGCAGCATTGCTCAACCTGCTCAACCCCCTGCGAGGCCAAACGTGCCGGGTGCCATTGCCCTCCCTGCACTGCTCCCACCAGGACACGCTGCTCTCCCACATGGGTGCCAGCCTGCCAGGCCCAATCCATAGGATAAAAGCAAGAAGAAACCTGGGGATGAGCTCCAGAGCCTGAGGATCACAGCACAGGTCACTGAGTGCCTGGTTCAGCCTGGGGATGGGAACAGAGGGATCGGAACACAGGGGCTGGAACAGGGATAGGGCTTGGGGAGAACACACCAGTGGTGAAACTGCAGGAACACAGCAAGGACAGAGCCCCTGGAGATGGAGAGCTCCATGTGTTGTCCCTGTCACTCACCTGGAACCCACCAACGACAGGGAAAGGTGGCTGCTGGCTCCTGCATCAGCCCAGTTGCCTGGGATGGGGCCCAGGACACTGCTGACACCTTCAGCATCACTGCCCAAGGGTGAGAGTTGGAGGCAGCTCCATAGAGAAGGACAAAAGGAGGACTTGGAGACGGATGCTCCCAAAGCAATGCCAAAGGGGATCACCACACCCCAGAGGAGAGCCTCTGAGCAGAGGCAGCACCAATCCAGCACCATCTGGGCTCTTGCTCTTTAGGCCTATCCTCCCAGAGCATGCGGTGCCCACACTGGTGTGGCAGAGCTCCTGGCCTGCTGGGACATATTCTGCCCTAAGGAGAAGATCCAGGGTGCAGAGCAGCTCAGCCACGCGGAGCTCAGGGAAGCCTCTCTCCTGCCAAACCACCCTGCTCCTCTCCTGCTATCCCTGGGGACTTCCCGCTTTCCCAGCAGCATGTCCTTATCCCTGAATCCCTTCATCTGTGGAAGCAGCAGAACAAAAGCTGCAGGAGACAGGTCTGCGCCTGCAAACATCCTCTTCCTGGCATTCTGTTTTGCACCAAGTGAATCAGTCTCTGCCCAGCTAATGGGAGAGAAGAGGAAAAGTGGGAAATGTCCCTTTGTTTCTGTGGCCTGCAGAGCCCATCCTCCTCATGGAAGAGCTGCAGGCTGCCCACTGAGCATCCCAGAGCTGGGAATGCACCAGTTCCCCGGGCGAAGCTCCCCAGGCCTGGCCAGCATCTCCAAGCTGGAACTGCACAGCAGCCAAGCTTCCCTCTGCGGGCTCGCTGCCCTGAGCCTCCTGGCTGCATCCCACAAGCACACAAACAAGAGGAGGAAAGCAGTGACCATTTCCAAGGGGATCTCAGAGCACTGCCCTGCTGCAGTCCAACAGCCTCAAGCCCCGGTTGCTGCTGCGCTCCCTTGCTGACAGGCTCAACTCCCAAGCAGAGACTGGTTCACTCCATTCAGAGCTCTGCAAACCCAGCCTGGGCTGTGACAGCCCCAGTGGCCTCTCCCCATGCAGTGACAGTTGCTGTGTTCACCCCTCACACCCCTGCGCCTACAGGGAGCCTGTGAGAAGCCCTCTGGTGAAGGCCAGCTCCCCCCCTGCAGCAGCACTGCCTGCAGGAGAAAAGGAAGTTGTGCTCGAGTTCCTCACCCCACTTGATAAGGTGCCACCTCACAAGAGCCCCGGCTCGATGAGACACTGCCTGGTGCGCTCTCCAGCTGACTCAAAGAGGCTGGAAGATGCTGCTGGTGCTCTTTGGCACCCACCCAAGCCAGTGCTGAGACTCAGCTACAGAAATGAGCAGCTGTGAAAGTCCATGTGCAAGTATTTAACGTGGGGCGAATGTTTGCTTCCAGTGTTCGAGTCTGACAAGGTGCCAACATCAGGTGCAGGAACAGCCACATCCATCCAAGCAGAAGGTAGAGCAGTGAAACATGATTGTGATGGGAAGTGCTCCATCACAAGCGAATGTCCCTTCCCACCCAGCTCTTGGCTCCTTCACTCCTGCTGTCCCTGCTGCTCCCTTCAGTACCTACCCCATGGCTGGATCCTGATGTCGTTGCCAGGCAATACCTGGCAGTTTGCAAACAGGACCTTAGGTGAAGGATTTCAGCAGCAAGCTAATGTACTAGGAGCAAAGCAGAGATGAAGGTGACCTACAGCTGCTCTCCCAACCTTCTAGCAGCAAAACAGCCTCTTGCAGAGGCCAGAAAAGCCTTTATACGAAAAGAGAGGTGGGTTAGATAATGCCCTCAACGGAAATCCAACTTCCTCCAACTGGACAAGTCCCTTGTTGCATCATTTCCTTCTCCCTAGAATAACTTCACCAAGATTTTGTTTCAGATGTGGCCCTTCTAAAGCGCTGAGCTGGTGTCAAGCATCCCGGCAAGAGGAGGAAGCAAACCACTGGGAATGGGAGGCAGCTTCCTCTGCAAGGCCGGGAGGATGCGCTGCAAGCCGGAATGGCAGCGATCCATGAGAAGAGGCCAGGATGCACCATTGTCCAAACCTTGATGAAGAAGCTCCCCTTCCCCTCCCCACCCTTTTCCACTACAAGACTGTGAAAGAGAAGTGACATTAGCACAGAGGAGGAAAAGAGCAGCTCGCCCGGGTTTTGTAATCGGGGTATTAACTCTTGTCAGGTCCCAAGGCAAAGACAAACCCTTCATGGCTCTTCAGATATTGCTTCCACTCCCTCTCTACAATGGGGAGCAGTGGGAGACTGGAGCAAGATCTGCTCCAAACAGGGTTAAACAAACAGGGTGGGCAGGGAAGGATGATCCTGGGCTATGCAGCATCTCCTGCCCAGACATCCACAGACACCTCAGGGCTGTGGCTGCTCATGGTGCCTTTGCCAAACACTGAGAATAAACCCCTGTGCTTTCCCCTTGGGAAAGAGAAAAGGGATCTTATGTGCCTGGAAAAGCTCTCTTTGGCCATCCCAAGAAGGTTCTCTTGACCCCCAAAATGAAGCCATTCTTGTCCATCTCTACTGCATATCGATTCCAGAGCAAGAGCAAAGGAAAGGCTCCAGAGATGTTGCATGGGCTCTGCCTGCCCCTCAGTGCTCTCCTCTGGAAGCTATAAACACAGCTCAAGATTCAACTGAATAAAACCAACCTCACTGAGAATAAAGCACCAAAACCACTGGAACGAAGCACAGAGAGAGGTGTGGAGCCGAGGGGGGGTTCCCAGCCTTCTCTGGCGCTTGGAAAACCCACATTCACAGCAGAGTTCCCCAGTTAGCAGAACTGGCTTCCGATTCACACCTGAAAGTGTTGCGGGTTCCCTCCCACCCCGGGGATCATCTCACCCACCCCAGCCCCCCCAAGAGGTGCTTTAGAAGGCTCTGACTAACCCTGAGAACCTCTCGCAGGCAAACGGTCTCCAGGGTGTTTGTCACTCGGAGCGGGGCGGCCGTTTCCTCCTCAGCTACCGGCACAAAAGGCCCCCAGGAAAGGGGTTCTGCAATTTCCACCCCGCCTGGCAAAGCTGAACTCAAGAGCTTTGGATCTTTGCTTTAAACTTGTATCAGTCTTGAGACTGATTTTACCCGTTAACTTTCCACTTACAGCTTCATTCCCCCCCCACCCCGCTGCTTGGAAAGGAGTCTGTCACATCACAGCTTCCCATGGCAGAGAGGAGGGAAAGGTCTTCACCAACAGACATCACACCCAACAGGGCAAGGAGGAGGAAAGGTTGCTTGGAGAATGCAGAGCAAGGTGAAGAAGTGAGGAAAGAATAAGAAGAGGAGGCATGGAGGCAGGGATGCTGCCAAGCAGCAGGATGCAGGAGATAAGAGAGCTGGGAGGAGGGAGAGGGCTCTTGGAGATAGGGGTGGTTACCACGAGCTGCTGAGGCGTGATGGAGTTGTCTGTGTAGATGCAGAGCTTCTCCACGGTCAGGGGCATGGTTTCTCGTAGCTTGGAGGCCAGGAGCATGCAGACTGCTCCCAGGAGCTGCAAGTGGCTCTTGCGCACGGGGACTGAGGACAGGTAGCGATCCACGTAGTTCATGGCCAAGGGGAAGACCTCTTCTTCACACTTCTGCTCCTCACACACCTAAGGACAACAAGGAAAGGAGGTCTGAATGAGCACAGGACTCCCCAGAGCCTGCCTGCACCACAGCTTCAAAGCTCCTGGTTGCGATGGAGCTTCACACTGTATCTGCAGGGCTTCAAAGGCACCTTAGAGCTAAGGAGTAAATTAGCTGCAGGTGTTAAGCCCATGATTTTGGTGGGATTACACCCAGCTGGAGATGGAACAGGGCAATTCCACCTGAAATGGTGCAGAAGAAAAGTCCTCCGCCCTTGGCCACTTGTACCACAGCCATGACCAGAATGCAGGAGCCCTGCATTTCATCCTCTGCTCTTATTTCTCAACCAGTATCAAAACACTTGTCATATTTTACTTCCTTCTTTCAATGCAACCATAAAAAACACTGTGGTTTCTCCTCACAGAGCAGCCAATGCCACCATTCTCCTTCCAGCAGCACCAAGGACACTGACATGCACGGTCACCATCACTGCCAAGTGTCATCTGCCTCTTGACTGCCCATAGGGCTTCACAAAAACCAGGCTCCAAAGCACCACTCCCTCAACCACCCCTCTCAGAAAGGGAATTGCAGAAACAGAACAATAATAGCAGGGAAAGGGAAAAAAAAAAAACCAACTTTAAAAGCAAGATGGTCATTATTTCCTTTGACAGAAGCAGCTTTTGCAGCAGCAGCGGGGTGTGGAGCAGGCAGGCTCTATCCCATGTCATTTGTCCTTTGCAGATCTGCTCTTTCTCTGTTGAGGCTTTGGCCACCTCGTGGAGAGGCCCATGAGATTCCCTCCCTGACCCCCCAGAACTGCATCCCGCAGAGAGCCCCATACAGTTTGGATTTAGGGAAGTAAATGGCAGTGGTGCTGCTTTCCTCCTTTGAGCGGGCACTTTCAGCCCTGCCCAAGCACTGCTGAGCTCTGCCCAGTCGTGGGGAGCAGGAAGCAAATGGGGGTGCCAGCAGCACGGCAGTAATGGCACTTGGGCCACAACAATCCCATGCAATGCTCCAGGCATGGGGAAAAGGGCTCGTGAAAGGCCTGGAGCACAAGTGTGATGGGGAATGGCTGAGGGACCTGGGGGGGGGGGAGTTCAATCTGGAGAAGAGAAGGCTTAGGGGGGACCTGATCACTCCCTACAACTGCCTGACAGGAGGATGGAGCCAGGAGGGGCTGGGCTCTGCTCCCAAGGAACAAGAGGAAACGGCCTCAAGCTGCACCAGGGCAGGTTTAGATGGAGCTGAGGAACAATTCCTGCCCCAAAGGGTGCTCAGACATTGGAACAGGCTGCCCAGGGCAGGGCTGCAGTCACCGTCCCTGCAACTGTTCACACAGCGTGGAGAAGAGGCCCTCAGTGCCATGGGTTGGTGGTGGCCTTGGCAGTGCTGGGCAATGGTTGGACTGGATGAGCTTAGAGGTGTTTTCCAATGGAGCTGGGGCTGTGATTCCAGCAGCAGCCGGCGCGCAGATACCGCCCTGCTGCAGGCTCCTTCCTCACCCAGCAACTCCCCCCATACCGGAGACCCGACCTCCGGCGAGCCCTGAGGCTTCGGGGCTTTCCTGTCCCCTGGGTCGTCCCTCGCACCCCGAGTCCCCAACGAACAGGGGGGGACGCTCCTGCCCCGCACTGCGGCTGGAGTGCGGCAGGCAGCGTGGAGGGGGGTGCCCGTACCTCCAGCATCCAGAAAGCCAGCATCTTCCGCATGTAGGGCTTGATCTCCCGCTGCACGCAGTGGAAGTAGGAGGCGCGGGGACTGTACCGCTCCTCCAGGCTCAGCAGGTTCTGCAGCACCCGCCGGTCCCCCAGGAGCTGCGGGTCGTGCTCGGCGCGGGGAACGCGGGGGACGGCTTCCACGCACAGCAGCTCCATGGGCGCGGCGGGCAGGGAACGGAACGGAGCGGACGGGAAGGGGTGAACGCAGAAGCAGCCTCCCCACCGGCTCCGCGGACGCCGGGAACAGGCGGCGTAACCCGAGGGGCGGAGCCACCGCCGCCTCCAGCCAATCAGCGAGCCGAGCGGCAACGCGCCGAAAGCGGGCGGTGGCCACGCCTCCGGGGGCGGGGCGAGAGGCGCGCCGGCGGGCTGACAGCACGTGGGGCCGCAGCGGGGCCGCTGCTGCCATGTTGGAGCGGAGAGGGAGCGGACACCGGGACCAGGCCCCCCCCGCCCCTCCGCGGCGGCACCACGTCCCTCTCCGGTACCCCCTTTGCTTGCAGGGTCCGCTGCCCGCTCAGCGCAGGGCAGGCAGGCTGCAGAGGGACAGCCCGGGGGCTGCGGCGAGGCTGCTGTCAACCCAACCATCGCAGGTCTAAAAGCAGTTAATTCAGTATTTGCTCCTCTATCTTTTTTTTTTTTTCCGTGTGTGTCTGCCCCAAGTCCTTCAAGGCTATGAAAACAATCAGCTGTGTACATACTTGGAGCCGGTCCCTACAAAGGCTTCCACAAGTTCCCCTCGTGTTACTCCTGGTGCAGCTCCACAGGAGATAGCGACCTCAGTGTCTGCCCAGATAAGGCTTTGTCAGGCTTGGCTGCGTTTTCCGAATAATTAACAATTGTTTGGAAATGCCTTTGCAAACTGTACACTGAGCAGCCATTCCTCTGGGGATTTCAAAGTCTTTGGGGTCAGTTTGCACTGACTTCCACAGTGCAGGATTTGCTCCGTGCTGGTACCTGAGTTCGGTGCTGGCTGACCCAGCAGTAACTGCTTTCTAGGCTGAGAAGGTGAAGGCTGCCACTCGGGACACGTTGCTCTGATACGGTTTACACCATACAACAATTCTCGAACTGGAAAGGGGAATGGATTGCCTTCAAACCTGCAAATTAAAACCTCCTCGGATTAGCTCAGGGGTCTGATTTTAATGTGAGCTCCCAATCCCAGCTCCAAAAGCAACCTGCCTGATGGAATGACCAGCCTGGATAAGCCTCCTTGGCACTGGGATGGTGCCACAATGCAGCATTTGCAGCAGCAGTTGGAACCAAATGATTCTAATCACAAATGTGAGAGGTGGGACCCGCAGCAGCTCCTGCTCTGGGCTCCCACAGCCACTCCTGGCTGCTCACCCAGCAATGGTTCCATTGTGCATGGATGGCCCTGTCCATCAGTTCACAGCACAGGATTCCTGGGCACAAGGAATGGGATGGACACAAGCAGGAATCCTGCAGCCCTTGGGGAGCAGACTGCTCCTGTTCAGAAAGAAAATGGAGCAAGGAAGGACTTTTGGGATGCAGCACCATGCAGAGGGGACTCAGTGGAACACCCGACTGGTTCTGCTGGGGTATCCCTCACTATATACACACGTAACATAGTTTTAAGCCAAGGACCAAAGCACCAAAGAAGTGATGAGCCACAACAGCCATTCCCCCTCCCACAAGTCACTTCTCTGGGTGTCATTTTGACACATTTAGTACTTTCCCTGCATTTTCAGGCATCTAAAAAGAGTCTCTTAATGCAGAACAAACACACCAAATTAATAAGCATTAAGTAAAACAAGACTGAAGCCTTTGTTCTGCCTCCTCAGGATTTCTGTTGTTGTTGCAAATGGAAAACATCTTTTTGATCAGAGGTTGCGAGGTTCCACTGGTGACAGTGAACACAGGTCACACACAGAACACACACCAGAATCCCCTTTCTACACATGGCTTTGGTTTTCTGCAAGGGATGTGACGCTGCCTGAGAACATCCAGCACGGAGATGGGAACGGGAGGAAGGAGAGGGGGTGAATAGATTGATCCCATCCCTGCTGCTTAAAATGAAAAAGAGGAATTTGAGAGGAGATTCTCCCATCCCTTTCCCCACTTCCTTTCACCTTACAAATAAATCTTCAGTGGTGTGGGCAAGAAACATCTGAAGAAGCTATGGGATACATGTCTGCGGACCAGTCAGCTGCTTTTAATCTGCGATGACCCCCCCCGGGCTCTTTCATTGTGAGCAGCATCCCCCACTTGTGAAGGGAAGAGAAGGGCCCCATGGCCCACATTTATAGTAAAAATAGCAGCTATTTGCTTTAGTCAGGCAAAGGGAAACCACAGCACTTGGGTTCTTGGTCCTTCTGGTTTTTGGGCTGTGCCTGTTGAAATTGAAAGTTCTAGGCCTTTTCCCAGACTTGATGGTCGGTGACCCAGTGCCTGGGACACCACTGGGCTCGGTGGCCACTGCGCACACAGCGGCACAACAGGGCCCGTTGCACAAGGAAGTGTTCCCTCCAGATGATGACTTGGCAAAAGCGAGGCCTCTGCAAGCCACAGGATCAGGCTTGGAAAGGGCAAATTACAGCCTGTGGGTGTCCCAAAAAGCCTCTTGTGTGGGTGTGCGGAGGGAAAAGAGAAAATTCCAGGAAAGCCCAATTTTGGTGGCTGCTGTGCAGAGATAGGCAGCTTCCTGGCTTTGGCGACATCAGGAAAGGAAATTCCTTCCGAGTGAACTTGAAAACCCCTGATGGGCTCCAGACTTCCAGGATCTCCAACCAGCAATGTTGTTCTTCGCTGAGTCATAAGGGAGGGCATTTTGGGGTTATGTTGATGATGAATTTAAAAGAGGGACCAGCAACTGGAGCTTTTAAAGGGGACAGTGAGGATGCTGGGCTGATTCTGAGGGGCTGCTGGTGTCATTTGTTGGGATGGCCATTCAACAGGAACACATCCATAAGGTCTTTGCTCCAGGAGGTTTTGGTCCATGTCACTGTCTGGCGATGCAGGCTGTCAGCCAGCAGGATTTGCACCTTTTCTGCACTGGTTTCTATGTCTTTTAGATCTACCTTCAGCCCAATTTTGTTCTACCAAGAGCTGAGCGCTCTTCCTCCTGGGTCATATTGTGACTACAGTATCATCGGTGATATTGAAACGAAACTACTTAACATACACCGAGGACTTGAAAACCAAATCCAATGAGCAAATAACTATATCATTTGCTAAAGGAAATCCCCCAAAGAGAATGAAAACCAGGTACCATTTTGTGAATGTGTGAGAAAGGGTGAAGATGGTATTTCGCACTTTATGGTTTCGTGATTTCAAAGCACTTCAAACACAGAATCCCAGCCTGGTTTAGGTTGGGTTGGACCTTAAAGCTCCTCCAGCTCCAACCCCTGCCACAGGCAGGGACCCCTTCCATAGAGCAGCTTGCTCCAAGCCCCTGTGTCCAACCTGGCCTTGAACACTGCCAGGGATGGGGCAGCCACAGCTTCTCTGGGCACCCTGTGCCAGCGCCTCAGCACCCTCACAGGGAAGAGCTTCTGCCTAAGAGCTCAGCTCAGTCTCCCCTCTGGCAGGTTAAAGCCATTGCCCTTGGCCTGTCCCTAAAGGCCCTTGTCCAAAGCCCCCTTTGTATTTCTTGTAGAGCCCCTTCAGCTATTGGCAAACTGTTCTATTATATCTTACATCCAATTTCCCCCAAAGGGGAGAGATTTTTGCAACTATTCCCAGCAGGACCAAGGGCTGTGGCACACAAGGGCTGGTGAGGATGGAGCAGAGGAGCCGGTCAGGCCAGGGTGCACATGAGTCGCAGCCCATGGGCATGGGGAGCTGAGGGTTTCCTGCACTCAGTCCCATGCTCAAACACAAGCCTGCTTTCTGCCCCCAGAGCTTTCCGCATCTTACTCATTCCTAACACAGAAAAAATGCTTTCACTGAGCTGAAGGGAAGTTTGGGTTGAGTTCAAGTTCAACATCTCACCCCAAGGACGTGTTTCCTAATACCTTTCCCATTACTGGCAACCACTGCATTCCCTTTCCTCTGACTTGGTCAGGCTTTTGAGTGTAACTAATCACTTTGGGGTGATATCATCTGAAAACCCAGCCTCAGCCATGCTTAGATAGATCCGGTGATGATGAGGATTCTGAAGAAGATAAAACTTGCTGCTTTGAAGGCCAAAGTGCAGCTTTTCCATTAACTGAAAGCCCCATCTTGGGCCAATTGTCTCTTTAAACAAAACTAAAACTAGGACTGTTGATGCTCTTGGGGTTTTTGCTCTATCCCTGCACCTGAGCATGCCTGTTCTTGGGCTATAGATCAGCTTAACCTGAGATTTGGCTCCAAATGAGCCAGCCCAGTTTCCCCTCAGTAAACCATTGAGGCCAGCAGAGATTTCAGTGTAGTTTCATCTGATGTTTTATGGGAAGCATTAGGACAGCTTTGCCTTCATCTGTGATTTCAGCAGCCGGTTTCTGCCTTAGTTCCTTTTCCTAACAAAATCTAAATGAAGTCACCTTTTCATTGCCTCAGACTCATGAGCCACCCCCAGGTGAAGGCTCAGTTTTGCTCCCAAAAGGCACATTTTAGACACCAGCCAAATTCAGCTGGTAGAGATTGAAAGAAAAGAGCAGAGAAGAAACATGCAAAGCTGAAACCAATCAATTTCAGAAGGCAAATGGGGCCTGGAAAGCCCCCCGGGGGGGCGGAGGGATATATTTAGTTCATTTCAGGGGATTATCTGTGGCTGCCAAATATGCAAATTGCTATAAAACACTGCCCTGCAATTTTACATCTCCAACACATCTCTGTTACAACACCCTGCCCTTGTCCATCCTTCCTGCCTTCCCCTGCCCTGAACTCATCTCCCTGCCCACGTCTTGCATAGATCAGATGGCTTTGGGTTTCTCTAAGAGGTTTTGCTTGCACGACACCATGCAGCTGATGTGGCAGGAGCAGGGCCTCTTTGCCAGCACAAGTGCCAGGCAGTGGGGCTTGGCCAGCTCCAAGCTTCCCAGCGGTGCAGGGAGAAAGGGAATGTGCTGTGGCTGTCCTGGAGAAAGAACCAGTCCTGCCTGGGGAAGTGAGGAGGAAAGGGAGACCTTAGAGCAGCTCCAGTGCCTAAAGGGGCTACAGGAAAGCTGGAGAGGGGCTTTGGACAAGGGCGTGAAGGGACAGGCCAAGGGGAATGGCTTTAACCTGCCTGA